GTTTGTGCTTCGAATGGGTTTTCGATTAAGTTATCTTTCATTCAAGTTTTTATTTGGTTTAGTTTGAAATGATCATTGATTTGTGAATAGCACTTGAATTAATTTAATAATTAATGTTGCTTGTTTTTATTTGGGTTGTAGTAGAAATTGTGTAATGGACAAGTTCGTATGTCTAACCATCGTTAGTGCTTCGCGACGAGGTTTTGTCTACGACAGTGACCCAAAAAAATGTTATTGCAATAAATTGGCAGCTAGGGAAATTTCATAGAGCGATTTAAACCACAGAAGAAGGTATTACGATTGCTCAAATTTTCCATTTAGAATATGTTTATAATAACCTTGTATTAGTTAGCTTAAGATAAAGAATGCATTAACGATAAATTGTTGTTGCATATATCGATCGATAACAAATATGTTTTCCCCTTGTTGTAGCACGGTTGTAGGTATTTTGAATGGTATAATGGTAGCATGTCAGAGCGAGCTAATTACTTACTATGACAATTACGTGATAGTGAGCGAAATTTAACGAAATAGAATGCATTTGAGATGGAGAGATTGAATGGGGAAAAAATTCAAAATTTGTTCTTGATTCGAATTTGATGGAGATGGAATTCAAAGGGGATATACGATTAGGGTTTCAACTCGATTTGCATTTGGGGATACTTGAGTTTGAGGGAAACTGTTTGAAGCGTCTGATATATCAGTCTAAACGCGTGTATAATTTTTATTTAGTTTATTAAACATTTATTTTGGGTTTATTAATATTTTGTTACACATAATAACCGAGTAACATGCCTGGCATCCAATACGCACCAATATGAGAGTGACATGTGTCACTCTCCTATTGGTACAAAATTCTAATTTAAATTTAATTTTAAACAAAAAAATGCTGACGTGTCAATTCCACGTCACTAATAATATATATTTATTATTATTAGTTTGACCGTCAGTTTTCATCCAATGGGGAATTTCTGAAGAGAAAATAACCTCAGTGACCAAAAATCCCAGATAATATACGATTTTGACCAACTTTTTTTGGATTTGCAAAAATGACCAACAAAATCGCAATGCAATCTCTAATTCGCATTGCGATCTCCACTATCGCAAATTCGCGTTGCGATAATTGAGAATCGAGTTACGATAGTTGAAAATCGCGTTGCGATTTTCCAGTTCGCGTTGCGATAGTTTACAGTTGTCGTTGCGATTTTCCAAATTCGTTGCAATAGTCTACAGTTGTTGTTGCGATAGTCTACAGTTGTCGTTGCGATTTTCCAAATTCGTTGCGAAAATTCGTTGTGATAGTCTACAGTAAGTCATACCCCCACTCCCTACCTAAAACATTAAAATGCTTGAAAAGAGGACAAGCTTATTCTACCCTGCCACTAGGCCCTATACATGGTTGACCTTGGCGTACCTACCCGGTTGTGGCCCCATAAAATACGTATCTTCGACACGTCCGCGCGGATACTATCATTTTAGAGAAAATTCTTAAGAAACAAAATCTTTTTTTTTAACTATCGCAACGAATTTGGAAAATCGCAACGACAACTATAGACTTTCGCAACAACAACTGTAGACTATCGCAACGCGAAATGCAACGCGAATTTGCGATAGTGGAGATCGCAATGCGAATTAAAGATCGCATTGCGATTTTGTTAGTCATTTTCACAAATCTAAAAAAAGTTGGTCAAAATCGTATATTATCTGGGATTTTTGGTCACTGAGGTTATTTTCTCATTTCTGAATCATATTTAAACGTTATGGGGACAAATGCTCTAAAAAAATAATGGAGAAAAATGCATATAGTATCAAACGTTAGGGATATTTATTTGCATTATGTCAAAATTAAATCAGTACGTCATTAAACGAACGAAAATAAATATTTTAATGATCACATCTTAATTAAAACAAAATAAAAATATTATGAATTATAATTTTTAAATTTAGTTACCATAAATATATAAAATTAAAATAAAAGTGACTAACTTATAGTTTAATCTTAAAAAAAGTATTGCATGTCAATGTCAATCAAAGTCATCTGTTTTTAAGTAAGAAATTCTTCTGCTTATTTAGAAAAAATCTTGTGCAGATCCATTTGGTTTCTTCAGAGACCCAAAGATGGCAGGAGGAGTTAATAGGAAAATATCAGCTGCATCAGTAAGAGCTCACACTAGAAAAGCAAAGCAAAACTCTTCCTTCAGGTGGTGTTTTTTTATATTTTTTTTCTTTAAAACAAAACATTATAGAAGATCTAGCATTTATTTCATCTGATTTAGGTTATAAACCATGCTGTAGAATTCCACATTTCTTTTAAAATCTGGGTCACTTTGTTGTTCTTATGTCTCTGCTTTAATCCTTGAAAAGAATAAGAAAGCTATGATTTTGGATCTTAGACTCTTCGGTTGTTGCAGATTCTTCAAATATTGGTTCATTATTGTAGTGAAAATTTTGGAATTTTGATGAATTCCTAGTTACTGCATTCTGTCTTTTTTTTAAGAGTTGAATTTCTAGCTTAGCTTGATGTAATTCTCTTTTACAGAAAGGACTGAGTTAGAGTTTAAATATTCATTTTAAAGAGGATGACTTCTGCATTTCTTTTGCATGCGAAATAAATGCTCCTGCGGTGTTTTTAAATTTGTGATTTTATTTTGAACGTTTCAAGTGCGGTGAATCTATCTTGTTTCACAAATGATGTGCTTGCCATTGCAACTTATTTCACATGGATTTCTACTACATTACGGGTTATTTTACTTATATCACAAAAATTGCAGGTTTATTCACAAAACTACTATTGCTCGTCCGTGGGGGCTTTAGCATGGGCTTATCAGGCCATTCAGCATCTAGAATAAAGGTGAGGGATGTACGGCATTTGGCCTACGAAGAGCATGGCGTTCCACGAGATGCAGCAAAGTATAAAATCATCCAAGTCCATGGATTCTACTCTTGTAGGCTTGATAGTATTTATCTGTCACCGGTATTTTTTTCGTCGTGGTCATCTAAGCTTTCAGCTATAATATGTTTGGATTGAGAGTCATTTGACTTTGTTATTGTTTTTGCTTTCTACCAGGAACTCGTTGAACGATCAGGGATCTACATTTTGTCTTTTGACAGACCAGGTTATGGAGAGAGTGATCCTAATCCGAAACGAACCGTTAAGAGTATGGCTTTGGATATAGAAGAGCTTGCTGATCAATTGAGATTAGGATCCAAGTTTTATGTAATTGGATTTTCCATTTGGGGGGGGGGGCGATTTGGAGCTGCCTCAAGTACATCCCTCACAGGTATTCCTTTTACTCAACTACACAAATGCAACCTAAGTGAAAAACCAAGAGATTGCATATAATGTTTGTTTCAACTGTTGTGTATACTACTTGATGTTTGCAACTCCGACAGGTTAGCTGGGGCGACATTGATAGCCCCAGCTGTTAACTACTGGTGGTCTGGTTTACCTACAAACTTATCGAACCAAGCATATCAGCAACAGTTACCGCAAAATCAATGGGTGCTTCGTGTGGCTCACTATGCTCCCTGGCTTACCTACTGGCGGAACACTCAGAAATGGTTCCCTTTTTTTAGCGTTCTGACTAACAGTACTGATCATTTGGCTAGTGAGGATATAAAGCTCTTGATGAAGATGCCTTCAAGGGATCACATCGTGGTATGTATCTCTCGACCGAAAATCGCTTTTTGTTTTATTAGAAGTTAAATATTGTTGACTTATAGTTAAGCAATGCTGGGGTAAATTTTCTTTATCTGCTGCAATTTTTATAGCTTAGGCAGCTTAATTATGCCTGGATTGTTCGGAATATGAATTCCAAATTTGATCATCAGTAACTCAATATATTAATTGACTCGACTACAGTTTCATTTGTATTTGATTGCATTGTGGGTAGGTTAGTTCCTTCTCTCTGATACAAGTTTAAACCTTTATATCAGTTAATGATGGTTTTTTTTAGTTTATTACAGTCGATGGTGGATTCTGAAGTAACTGTACTCGTATAGGTAGATGCCATCTTTTGTTCAAGAGTAACCATCATTATCTTCCATAATTCCATTAATGTATTGCTATTAGATGCTTGAAAACTCCCTAGTTTCCTTGCAAGCTCGAATATTATGGACAACTTTCCGATAGAAGGTTGTACCACCTGTTCATTAATTACTGCATTTCATATTGTTATTCAGTGGTGGGTGATATGTTGCTTTCTAGTTTGTCGATATTATCTGCTGTCAAGTTGTATGCATTGTTATGTATTAGCCAAAAAATGATTTTTTTTTTTTTTGCTTCCTCCTAAACAATATAACATAATCTGACTTTTTATATAGCCTTATTGCAAGTTTCAATTTGATAATTGTAATACGGATTTGGTTACCTTGTCCAATTTGAAAAACCCTCTGAAATTGTTCACACCATGGCTCGACAACTGCATGTTTTCTGATCTTTGCCTGCTATAATCAGTTGCTTCCATAGCTGAAGTAGTTCATGTACTATGTACTAGTATATTTGATTTCATTGATGTACAACAGAAACGGTACAAAGACATTCCGGTGCTAGGACAGAGGCAATCAGAGGAATGAAACCATCCTTTTGTATTTTGAAGTTTTTCTTAAGATTTGGGTTTGAGCATGCGTGTTAAGTAGCAATGCTCATTGTTGAAATAAAATGTGCTATAATGTACGTCTACTGATCTATTTCATGCAGCATTCTGCAATTTATGATTGTTTCAACTTTGTTAATTTCTGCATAAATATTCAAATAATCAGCATAATATCAAATCATTTTCAACAAATAGTCGGGTATAGATATTGATCTCATTTTCTACAAATATTTGGATATGAATATAGCTTTCGTGTATCGAACATGTATCCATATTTGCATTCATCTTAAATTCATGTAATATATAACTACAAGAATGAAGTTTTTAAATTCATTTAAATAACAATGGGTTCACTTGATAAATAATTATCTCATTACATTATGAATTTATGATACCCATCTCAAATGCAGATAACACAGAGCTAGGAGAAATAAGCATGCTTATTAGGTTTGCATCCAAATAAATATCATGATCGGGTAAGAAAATCGATTTAGTGAATCCATTCGGCCAACTCAAACTCTCAACCTGGCCGCTATAGTATGAGCAATGAACTTGTAAGATCTACTGTTTCACCATGAAAGAACTTTTACAACTGCACCCTCCAACTGCACTAGGATTTGTTGTCACCTGCAAGAGAAACCAGAAGCCTTGATTATGATATACTAGGTAAAATGTAAACGAAGCCATGCTTATAATAGGAAGCATGTGGTTCATAATCATTTTGCACCGTGTAATTACAACCAATGTTTTTGCGATGAAGCATATTCTTTTGGTTTTCATAAACCTTACAATTGATCGTAGAAACATTTTCCGGTGCGAATGATTTCATCCAATCATTTGCAGATCATACCTAGAGGATCAACACATAAGAGTACTGTATCATCCCAACAACACTCCCTACAATTTTCGTTCAAATATGATACAATTTTTTTGAACAAGTCTGTTAAGGAATGCCTGACATAGTCAACTTCAAGGTAGTAGCCAGGCCACAAAGGTAATATCACACCGAAGCAAAACCACAACGGAAAGTTGACTAATGGTTATACAAGGCATAGTCGACTACAATGAGCAAAACGTATGCCTAGAGAGGCATAAACCATATATAGAAACTACGGATATAAATTTCCGGTACAGAACAATAAAGGGTTATCTTATCTGGACAAACTTGATGAAAAATTGTCCATGTTTCCTAGTTCTTAATACAACTACAACAAAATTGAACACCAATTTAGTCACACTAATATTCCTATAGTTGCATGGTGTACCATCCAGACATTTCTGATCTCTCTTTGTGCTTAGTCCCGGAAGTAACATTAATTGGAAACAGGACAAACAAAAACCTGTAATCGATTTAGTAGTACCTAAACGACAGAGAACTGCATCTTATTTTTACATTGAACATTTCTCATTCAACCATAAATGAAGAATATTTTCATCCTATCTGAGTTCCCAGTTAGTTACGATGAAGGCATGAAATGTATCGGCAATCTATTTAGAAAATACCATAACGAATCACTTAGCCAGAAGGAAACCACTTACATCCTAGGATGTAAGCCAACAACATCGATGCATGTATGCATGGAACAAGAAAACACGGCTTACCACGAATGCAGAACGAATTAACTCCTCGACATAATCTACTGTTGCTCCTTTTACAAAATCATAGGAAATATCATCAACTACCAACGTTACTCCTTCCCTTACAAAAACTCTGCAAATAGGAATCCATACAAGAGGAAAAATAAAGGTTAAAGCAGTAGGAAGAGAGGAAAAAAATTTACTTTTTGTCAAACCAAAACGAAAAACAAAAGGAAATAAAGAAACCTGTCGTCCGGGTTTGTTTTGTCGTCCAAATCAAACACATATTGAAACCCCGAACATCCTCCGGTTTCCACACTCAGCCGGAGCATCTTATCCTCAGATGATTTTTCACTTGCTTGCAGTTCTTTCATTCTCTAAAAGGAAAACCAAATGTCAATGAAAAAAATGATTAAAAAATGTATATTTTCTAAGCAATTGGGAAACATATATGCCACCGGCACTAAAAACATTATACAAACTGTTCATGCATATTTCCTGCAATAGAAAACAAGTTATAAGGTCTTCAATATCTCCTACATATCCTAAAGTACGCAATTTTAACAAGTTAAACATTAGAACCTTACAAAAAGGGTATTGTTTTGCAATATATTTTGCAATCAATTTATAACAAGAAAATGCTGATATAACAAATATAGCATAACTTTAGATGAATGCGGGGAAATGGGGTTCGCAAGGGAAAGGACATAAAGTGAAATTATGAATACTAAAGAAATTGAATGAAAAATTCAATTTGTTTGTGAACCAAATGCTATCATAAGCTACAAGTTACACAATAAGAAATTAACATAATTCAAAAGGTTCGATCTTTTCCTTCACTTTCTCAGCATCCAAACGCAAAAGCAATCCCCAATTATTTTACAAAAGATTCTAAAACAATTTGATCTGAGAAACCCAAGATAGCAATACTAGCAAAAGTAAAAGAAATCCCATAAACAACAGATAATAGTAATAAATTCAAATGAATCAAATAAGAAAGATTCAGAAGAAAATATCAATCATATACAGAAAAAAGGAAAAACAAATCTTTTTCTCTTAAATGTTACCTTGACGCAATTATCAGTCATGTTAACTGCATCGAGAGAGGGAGATTCAGAAGAAGCCTCATGAAGAGCTGAAGAAGACGAAGAAAAAGACGACCTTAGAAGCTGATGGTTTTGCTTGATTCGAGCTATTAAAAATGGAGAAATGCGTTGAATCAATGATTTCGACATGGGAAGTAGATTAAATATTCATTTTAAGTTTTTCATGGCTTCAAAGCTTCGATCTTTTCGTTCCTTTTTCAAAGTAAATTTCTGGGTTTTCGCTTTGGGAGCGCAAATGAGCAGAAGGGATTGTGACAAACACAATCTAGGACCAAGACCAAACAGCTGAACTCACGTGTCGACCTGTACGCGTACTTCCTTTCAATCTATACAACTAGACTTCTCAATTATGATCCGGATTAATTTAAGTTAAAATTCAATTTATCTTGATTTTATTAAAAAGTTGACGGTTTGAATTTTAAATTTAATGGTTACTTTTATCCTCATAAAAGATTCAATTTTTTATTTTGATCTTTATCACATTTGTTTTATCAATTTAATCATTAAAATTGTTTAATTGTATTTAAAATGTATTCTATTGATTAGTATTCTAAGTTAGAGTTTAAAATTTCAGATTTTAGGGTTTGAAGGTTAGATTTAGAGTTTAAGATTCATGATTTAGGATTTAAAGTTATATTTAGAGTTTAGGGTTTAATAGGGACGAAGCTACCTTTTGTCCCCTAGGTCACTACTGTCTTATTTTTTATTATTAAAAAATATATGGGAAAATATTAAATTAGAGTTCTAAATTTTAGTTTATTTTGATTTTTCTCCTCTCATTTTTCATGGTTGATTGTATTTTGTCCTCCTATTTTTATGATTAATTACATTTTACCCTCCTTAAGTTGGAATCTTGGCTTCTTCCATGGGGTTCAGACTTTAAGGTTTAGGATGATGTAATTAAATAACTTCGAGGACTAAACTGATACGAAAATGATAAATTAGGTCTACTACAAGGGCAAAATGTAGTTATTAAACCTTAAATTTATTCAAATTACATATAATTTAAAATTAAAACTATCCAAACAAATAATTTAGAAAAACTTAAATGGGTGGATTTATTGTTATCCATTGAGGTTTCGGGTTCAAGCACAACAAATGCTAAAGGTATGAATATCGCTTCTCCTTCTCGTATCGAATAGAACATGTCGAGGCAAACCTTCTTCATGTAAAACATTCTTGATTTAGATCGGGAGAATTGTAAGATTTTATGAAACCATGTGTATATGGCTCGAATATATAGTCATTATTTTTTATAGGAGCAGTTGACAATTGAATCCAATTTTCTCTATTATTTTCGTATCTATAATAGTGAAAAAGAAAAGTTTGGCTCCAAGTTGTTCAAGAATAGTGGCATCGTTGAATTTCTTGATCCTTTGACTTAGGATTAGTCAAGTTCTATTTCTTGATGGGGGCAGAGAAGGGATATAACTCATCATTCATTGTTAAATAATTGAGGACTTTGAACAAATATTGTCTTATATTTACTCTATATTTATAAAAAAAATGATAAATTATAAGATTGATCACTTTCGTTTAAGTTTTGTATATTTTCCTTATTGAATTAAAAAAAATATAATATTTGGTCACTTTTGATTTTATTTAATTAAGATGTGATCACTAAGGGTTAATAGACGTTAGACCTTTGATAGATTTCTAATGCGACACAGTGAATATATATAAAAAAAGGATATGACACGGTGAATATATAAAATATCGTTCATCGGAAGAAGTAGACTGGACTGATTTTGCATAAATGCTGATTAGTCTCCATGGATGCTTCTCTGACTTTTGCGTTGGGGTAAATCTGTGTTGTCTTGATATGAGTTGTGTGGTGTTTACTATCTTGATGTTTTGTTCTGTTGATATGGGTGTTTTAGCCTGTTCAAAGTTGGAGTACCATTTTGGTGTTTGTTCAGGTTTCTAGCAGAAATGTGGGTTTTGTAAATTGGAAATCTGTTGTATTCGAGGTTATGGTTTTGCAGCTAGGATGAATATATTATTTTTCTCCATCTAGGTTTAGAGAGATTTTTAACGAGACATTTGTTTTAATGAATTATCAATAAAACCTACTATTGTTGAGAAAAAACAAATTACATAAATGATGACTAATATTTGAATAAAGTTTTCATTTTTCTACTTAAGTAACTATAAGTGCAAATAAATGAAAAATCCATGGGTTTAACAAAGGATTCCGTAGAGATTCCATTCCAAATTATGAAAGAGCTCAAGCATGGTTAGGCAATATATATGGTATGAGTTTACAACCCATTTAGAATGAAAATCAGAGAGTTTTAACTCACCTTAGCATAGCTCTAACAGCTTGAAATGTCATGCGCGCATTTAAGAGCAACTCCTACGCTGCGCTGAAGTGGAGTTCAATCTCCACTTTGAAGACTCCAGCGCTGTGCCACTTCCATCTCTACTTTGGCGTGGCTATTAGTTTCACTCTATATCTAACGTGTTACTGTAGCTGCGCTACATTTTTTTTTGTTATTTTAATGCAAATGCCCATTTTGCTCTACGAAATGTATTAATTGAGCATTTGTAGAATGAATATTCTAATTCGGAGAATTAAAATATATAATTATGTAATTTATGTTTTTCGCATTATTATTATGAATTGTAATTTTCTTATTTATTTGTATTTTCACAATGTTATTTATGAATGTTTTTTATCTTGATATTTATTAGAAATGTATATGTTTTATTTTAAATTTACAAAATCAATATTATAATAGTTAAATATTGTGAATAAAATAGAGTTTGTGATAATGTAGAGATAGTGCTGGAGATAAATTATTTTTACATCTTTAGAGTAGAGATGAGGGTTGGAGATGACCTAATAAGTGCATTAAATAAGCATCAAACACTTATTGTAAACTAATTGTGCTCCTCTCTCCCGAAATAAAATATAATGAGTCTGGGAACATACCCAGAGCTGTCTATGAATCCATTTTCTCTAGTTGGCCTTGGGTGTGTTTGAGTCTAGACTTTCCACTTTTAAAATTTTAAGCTGAGGGAAAATGGTGTTTTTGGAAGGGATGGTGATAGAGGTTGGGCTGTCAGGGGAAAAATATTATTTTTAATAGAGAAAACAAAGATTTACTCGAACATTAGTTATTAAAAATAATTTATTTTTTTAATTTTATATATTCACATTGCTACATCAAATTCGTTAAAGACTGATAATTAACTCTCATAATTACATCTTAATTAAATAAAAAAATAAAATGATTCAATCTTATATATTTTTTAATTCAATTATGAATTATGTATAAAATTTAAACGAAAGTGATCAAACAAATAATTTAACAGGAAAAAAAGACTTCAAATGAAATAAAGCTAAGCACGTCACTAATTAAGTATTAGCAAGAATATTATATCAACAATATATATTAATAGTTAGTGAATTAATAATTTTTATCAAATAAATATTATTTTCACCAAAATTTATAGTGTTAAAAACTAAATTCTTAAAAAAATAAAAGTTAAAATGATCATTTGAACATATGTTGAAGGTTAATATTAGACTTAAGTACATAAATAGTCCTCTGACTATAGGGTACTACTTTATTAAGTCCCTCAACTATTAGAAGTTACAAAATAGTCCTTCAACTTTAGAATATTACTTTATTAAGTTCCTTGGCTATTAAAAATTACAAAACGTTCACCCAACTATTCATTATATTCCAAACGCGCCCTTTCTGTTAAAAAATTAGCGGTTATATAAGCTGGACGTTAACATGATGAATGAGATTTGATAGTCGTTCGAGATTCTATGATCAGATTTTATCATATCATAATTAACATGTCAACGTTCAACTTAGAATACAGTCAAATTTTTTAACAGAAAAGAATGAGTTTGGAACATAATGAATAGTCGAGTGATCATTTTGTAACTTTTTATAATCGATGGACTCAACATAGCAACACTATATAGTTGGAGGAGTATTTTGTAACTTTTAATAGTAGAAGGAATTAAAAAAACAGTACCCTATAGTCAGGGACCATTTGTGTACTTTACCCTTAATTTTATCATATGTGTTATTTAGTTAAAAAAATATAAAAATCCCAAGTCACTCACCCTCTAAACACGCACAGCCCCCACTCACACAGAGGCCACACCGTCGATTCATCACAGCCGGCGCCTTCGATTGTGACGCACGAACCAGCAAGCTCGCCTCTGGCATTCAAACCTGTAACTTTTATTCACTTTTTTTTTAGATACACTGTTTATATATATGTTTTATTCATGTTTCTTCACAATAGTTTTGTGTCTTCACACTAAAAGAAAACAAAATGGATCCATAAAAAGTCGCTGATTAATTCGTTTTCGTTTTCATTTCCAGCGTTTGTTTTGTTTATTTATAATTTCAACCTGTTTTCTAGCTTGAATTTGATTGAATGCATTAAACTCTTAACAGGCAGTACTCGTTAAACTCTATATTGCTTTTCCCCCATTTATATTGAATACTTAATTCAATTGAAAGGTACCCATTTTAACTTACCATGTACAGAATCGGAAAGAAGGGAAATGGAGAACACTAATCCATCAACTGAAGGGGGAAAATTCAGGGTCCCGAAGGTGGAACTTTCAGACAAAAGCCAAGGCTTTATAGAGCTATTACGACAACTAACAGTTTGTGATTCAATTTCGGACAAAGAATTCGAAGAGAGGTTTAAGGAAATAAGCATGTACGGCGATGACCATGTTATCTGTGTGATGGAAGATGAAACATCAAGTAAGATTATAGCTTCGGGTAGTGTGTTTATAGAGAAGTTCACAAGGAATTGTGGTAAAGTTGGGCACATTGAAGATGTGGTAGTCGATGCCAGGGCGAGAGGGATGCGACTCGGGAAGGAAATAGAGGGGTATCTTGCGGATCATGCTCGTTCCATGGGGTGTTATAAGGTTATTTTGGATTGCAGTGATGACAAGAAGGTGTTCTATGAGAAATGTGGCTTTAAGCAGAAGGAGATTCAAATGGTTAGGTATTTTGTTTGAACCTAACGTTTTGCTATTGCCTTTCGTTAGTGGTACATTGTTTGTTCTGATGGTGACTTCAATGGCATATTTCTTTCTGGGTAAGCACTTGATCTGTATGCGCATTCTATTTATTATACTCGAATCCCAATGGTATATCTGGTTGGTGCATCTTTTATCATGGAATACATTGCCTATATATTAAACTTGTATCTTTCGATAGAACCCTTTTCATGCTTGTTTGTCCAAGTCATATGACTCGCGTTGTCTCAACTTTCTCTCTCAAGAGATATTTTGAAAATGTCCTCAATAGAGAAGCATCGAAACTTTTCTAAAAATGCTTGAAAATATATCAAGCGACACTTGTAAATTTCATCAACAGATTTATGAGCATCATACCATGAAGTTTTGAGAATCCGATGTAGGATCAAAACTGAAAAAGTTCACACGAACAATCTAGCGTGACGTTTTTAACAAAGTGAATGCAATGATATATGAACATAAAATAAATTACATCCGTAGTTAAATGAATGATTGTTATTCCTACAATAGAGTGATCAAACATTCATTATCATGGTTGAGAGTGTTTAGAACAGATAAGATGTGTGGGAAATCTTTTTCCTCGGATTCAACATTATCTTCATAATTTTATTCTTCTGAAATTAGTGTGCATCTTTATCACTCCTAGATCACGAGCTTCTTTCCTCAATATTTTCTCTCTCAACCTACATTCTTTATCTTAAGCTTGCGAGAGAACGTAAGGGAAAGAATACTTGCAAATCAAAGGTAAAACTTATTTTTCAAAAAAAAAGACATTTACCCAAAAATCAGCAATTCCTCTAATCAAACACACACCATGAGTCTACAAGTAAAACCAAGAACAAAAAAAAGTTATCTTTGAATTAAAAAGGAGCATAAAGAGTACACAACTTTCTAAATCGAGATTCAATATCAAAATCCATCACCATTTAGGGTCTATAAATGTGCAACAGAACAGGGTAAAGCAAACTTGAACCAGAAATTTATTTCAAAAACAAACTCCCAGTGTCGAAGGAGCAGCAGCAGCAACTGAGTAGCAGATATGAAGCGAAAAATCACAACCTTCTTCCACGTCTGCCACCCTTTCTCCGGGTACTATCAGTAGGAATAGGGGTAACATCCTCTGCGGTGAAGAAAATGTTACATTGTCAGTTTACAAGAGATGAAGTAAATGGACACGATGAAACTGAATCGAAAGGATGAAAGATTTGTACCTATGCACCCGATTTTCATGCCTGAACGAGCAAGGGCTCTAAGTGCCGACTGGGCACCAGGACCCGGTGTCTTGGTCTTGTTACCTCCAGTAGCACGGAGCTTTATATGAAGGGCTGTAATACCCAACTCCTACAGATAACATTCATGAACAAAAATTAAAATCGAGCCAATGCATAGTGCAAAACAATTCAAATGGGAAAGCAATAAGGACCTTGCAGCATAGAGAAACATCTTGAGCTGCAAGCATGGCTGCATAAGGGGAAGACTCATCCCTATCAGCTTTCACCTTCATCCCACCTATGTAAAATTCAGGGATTATGTTGTAAAAAAATATTTAAGCATACTCTTCATAGAAACAACTTCGAGCAGGGACATGAAGATCAGCGTACAGCAATGTTTGATTAACAGGTTATTATTAACTACTATAGCTTAAAAAATCCAATACCAGTGTCAGCATTTGAATAAACAGGACAAACTAAAACAGCTACACAAATCAGGAGATGACAAAAACCCATGATTGCAAAAGATCAGCACAAGCCATACCCGTAATGCGAACCATTGTTTCCCTTCCAGACAAATCTGTCACATGCTGCAATTGCCATTCAATGACATCATTCTAAATGGAACGAACTCTCAGAAGTCAGAACACAAAATCAAATGTAAAACAAAGAAACTTATCATTTACTATAAATGTGTCATTGAAAGGAGCAAAAATGTGAGCCACTCCAAAAACATACTCGCCTTCTTGGACAGCTGATCCAAGGTTTGTATTCTCCTCCTTGGGCTCCCTAGCCTTTCTCCACGACTACAAAATACCACAAACCAATGAAAGTGTAACCTAAATCTGACTTAAACAAACAAAAAACACTAATAAAAAACGATCCTAAGAATCTAAACAAGCACCATGCGCAATAAATACAAATTTAAGTCTAATCTAATTAGTAAATGATTCCAATAAGAAATTTCCTTTTTCCAAAGAATAAAAGAGAAGGCTTTGCACATTTCCAGTTTTTATTTAGCCACAGTGTCTTTCAAGCCTGAAAACGCAATTATAGCTATCTACTGCAATGTTTATAATACCAAAATTAAATAAATAAAGAGAGCACATGGTTTGCTACATTGTCACAGTTAATCCGTAAAAGCCCACTCTTAGTTTCTATACCAATTTGCTAAACTCGTTTTCTCAGTTACCAAACAAGATTTAGCTTAACATGGATATAAAGGATGAAAATCGAGACCTACCATGGCTTCAGGCAAAATGCAAGAGAGTTATCAAATTAGGGTTTTCTGAGAGCGCCATTGCAGAAGAGGTGATACGAAATCAGTTAAAACTTTTTTATAGTTAAGGGTTTTGACAACCTTCAGTTTGAATGACGAAAAGGACCTTGAATTAGATTAACTTGCATAAATGTTCGTTTTGGTCCCTCTAATTTAATGTTTTTGTTTTATTCATCTTACTATCATCAATATTATGTTTTAGCCCAAATCATTAACATAATTTAAAAAACCTTTTTTTACATAAATTAAAAAAAAAGAAAAAAACTTTATTCGTTGGTTGATGTATAATTTTAAAAACTAAAATAGAATTATCTTAATATTGAGTTGATTTTTATTTTATTTTTTCAAAGGTAAATTAATGAAAAGTAATTGTTGAAGATTCTAACTTCACTTCTTAAATGACTTAATTAATTTTAGGTTTCGTGTGTTAAAAAAATCCACATATATTGACTAAAATAAAATGAAACCATGTTAATGTTTTGGACTAAAGAATAGAAAAATCAAATTATACAAATTAAAGTAATTAAAACATAATGTTTTTAATAGATTTATTTTTCCTATTCGTAAACTATAAAATTTAATTTTTCATTAGTAAATGCCCCCCCAATAAAGTATTAGTAAAGTCTTTTATTTTGCTATTATATAATGAATTATTATTTTTATTAATCTTAATTTTATATAGAGGAGAAGGAAAATGAAAACTTTAGGACAAGATGAGCGAATAAGTCTAATAAGTCTAGAATTCATTAAATATTATTCAATCAACCAAATATGTTTGATCATATAATGGATTATTATTTAGTATATTAGTCGTGGATAACTTTAATTTAACAATTAAACTTAAATAATAATATGCATTTGTTTCTCTCTTTTTCTCTCTCTCTTGTTTTGTCTATATTATTCATCTTCTCTCTCACGTCTTTTTTTTCCTCCTCTCACTATCAATGAATTATCGATTTATGATTGGTCTTGCTCCAGTTACAGTTCTCCACCCAAATCAAAATAGATAAATCACTAACGATCGACATAATATATTTGTTTCCATCACCATCATTTAATTTTTATCTTTTAAAATACAGGTAAAATATTAATGTTGATTTGTTGATAGTTGTTAAATGAAAAAAAAAATATCATTGCATATGTTGATACAATATTTGAATGGCGATAGAAACTGATTTATTCTATTTAATATATGATAGAGAACTGAATGATAAAATTATTAGAGTTAGTGAGAATAAAACGAATGAAATTCATATTTTTGAGAGAATGAAGTTGGAATTGATGAGAATAGAGGGAATGAGGTTCAAATCTTGTGAGAGAATGTATGTACTTTGAGAATTAGCCCCCGCTCTGGAAAGTCTAAAATATTGTTCGAAATTTGAAAGGGTTCGAATAAAAATATTAGGTCTAAAAATGAGGTTGAATAAGAGAATTTTTTTAATGAAATAGAGAGTAACAAAAGAACCCTAGTCCAATATTCCAGCTTCGACGTGCACAACGACGACCGCATGATTTTATGTCAAGAGACGAACTTTATATTTAATAAACTAAAATCAACTCCTAAGAAATTAGAGAAGTATTAATTATAAACCTACAAATTATTACAAAGAGGATCTTTTTAATTATCAAAACTAGGCATTGGAAATTGTGTCTGATGCTCTTTCATTAGATCGAAGTCATCAATAAGAGAATTTATAAATAAATCACAAGCAATTTCCTTCTCAATATATGTTATTAAGTAGTTTGAAAAAAAATCATCCTCCATTTTATTACGCAAGTGAGTCTTCACCAGCTTCATGATCGAGAAAGCCCGCTCTATGATCGTAGTAGAAACAAGAAGAACAAGTTGATCAAGGAGAGGATAAATAATTTAATTTTTAATCTTTACTAATACTTGACAAAGTTATGAAATTGTTGATGTCTTTCTCAATTCAATGCTCCATTTAGATTCTAATTAAAAATGTTTTAATTGAACTTTCAAGTGAAACCTTTCTTGCTCCGTGAAGCCTTCTGAATAATTTTTTTTTGTTGCAATCTTGTATATATCATCAATGCAAAATGATTTATAATCATTCCTTGGATCTAAAGCAAAACTAAGTTTAAGTAACTCCAGCATGTCATCCTTGAATCTAATGTTTATCTCTTGTATTTGAGAATCAATAGCAGAAATAAATATATCAACACAATAACAGTGTCCAATTGAGATGACATCTCGTTGAAGTCGAGACCTCCCTCTCCCTCCTTTGTGTGGAACATTCATATCATGAATCTCTATACGGTGTTTATCAAATAAGATATTTTCGTAACATCTAAAAAAAAAAGGTTCGTTTTGACTGAAATAAGATTTTCCTTTTTAAAAAAATATGATTCAATGGAGTTACAACCAATCTTTGTTTAGGATGTGATTGAATCACCAAAAAAATATTATCATTTTAATAAAATTTAATTTTAAAAATTATCAAAACAACTTTTAGGTTTGTGTTCCAGGAAAAATAAGTTCGGGAGTCGATTACGTATGGGGAAGGATTAACACCCCCACAACGTCCGCAAATTGATACCTAGTCGATTCATTATTATCTTTGTAATGAAATTTATGGATTTGAATATAAATTTAATTCATGATCCCTTTTTAGTTAAATAGATACAATGTTATTTAACTAATTAAAATTTCAGAGAGAAAATTAACAATTTGTGTATTTAATTGGAGAAAGTTAACCACCGAATATAAGGTAGAGTTGTACCCCTCTTATTTCTAACTAAAGTGATGAATCATCGATCTTCTTCTAAAAAAATTTAAGTTAAATTGTTGACATTTCAACGTTTCAAACCAAAGGGAAACACCACCAAATATGAGGTAGAGCGACGACTTCCCTTACTCGGAATGAAACAAGAAATATCATAATCATTATATTTTTTTTATCTAAAGTTGTACAATAAACAAAAGGTTTATTAATAGAAATTATAGAGCCTTTGGAATATATAGAGAATGTTAGAATATTTATAAGTATCGAAACTAAACCTCTGAATAGAACTGAGAGGCTCATTTTCGATAAATCTAAATATGAGAACATTTTCCTTTCTACATTCCTATTCAATTTTAAAAGTTATATTTTTTTTGGTTTCAATGGAGGATACCTATTCATTTTATATTACGAAATAAATTACCTAGGGGGATTAGGATAACTCTCTTCGATAATTTAAAATACGCATAACCTTTTAATTATTTATGAAAAGATATCAAGTGATGCGAATGAGGCTCTCATGCTTATAATTAATTAAAAATGTCATGAAATCAACCAACATGCTTCAAAAAAATTATTTAAAGAATCAAATAAAAGAATCAATATAATTAAAAAGCTAGAGTCATAATGAAAACAATCAAAATTTAAGACATACATAGAATATACAAATAATTAAAAGCATGAAATGTAAATCTAAAAAATATAAATATTAATTGTAAAAAATATACTAAAACTTCCAAAAATAATAAAGTAAAATAATAAGTACACAACTTAGAAAAGCAATAAATGGTAAAAAGCAATATACATACATAATATGACAAGAAAAATTAAAGACATATTGCAGCAAAATAACCCTAACGTTTGACAATATTATTAAATTTACCCTTATTTTTTTTGACACATTTGATCACTCAATGTTTCATTTTGTGTCAAAAAACACCCTCGATGGATGGAAGCCGCTAGTCAACTAACGATCAACGCCTGATGCTGACCAAGCATGTACATGTGGACGGTGATGCTGAAATGACTTGTCCAGCTCAGAGTACATGATGATGTGGTAATGCAATGTTAGAAAGTTGTAGACACCCATTTTTTTGGGTCTTTTCTATTTAATTTTACCTATTATTATTATTATTATGTTTATTAACTATTATTATTAATATAAATACATATTTTTTGCAGGCCAAATTAAGGCCTGATTACAAGTGACCCAGCTGACCCATTACAACAACCCGAAGCCCATTCACAAGCCTATCGGAACCCAGCAAGACCCGACCCAGTGCATACAAGGCCAGATTCGACCCGAGCCTAATAAGAGAACCTATTTATATTAGGGTTTTAAACCCTAAACTGAAGCTCAGCCACGCCATCTTTAACCCTCCAGTTTTCTCATTGACAAGAAAGCTACTGCCGAGCCATCGAGTTGCCGCCAACATCAGCTATGTTGCCACTGATTGTTACTGCCACCGCCATCATCACCAGAACCTACAAACAATACATCAATAGTAACCCCAAAGCAATCAACCACCTATCCAAAACCAAATCTAAAAACCCATTTAAAAAGTTCTAAATCCCTAAATATCTGGCTTTTGGTACTAACCCGAGCCTAGGAACATCATTCCTATCGAATAGAGATGATGATTCTCATCCAAGCACCATAAAAAATACATGCAATGATAAAGGAGAGGATGGGGTGGACAAGAAAAAATACCGAGAGAAACAAGGGTGAGAGTATTCGATTCGGGAAATAGAAAAAAACGAGAGAAAGAATTCGAACCAAAACCAAAGAAAAAGAGAAGAAATCTCAAAATAAATGAGAGATAGAGTGAGAAGCTTACCCTTTTTTGACCACCATCGTTGCTTCACCGGAGTCGAGAGACATATTTGAGTCAGTAAAGGTAACCTTTTTATCTTTTGGGGTTTGGTTTTGGCTGAATAGAAGGGCTTTGGGGCTTTACTTAACTAAGAGGGGTCTTTTGGGTAGTTATTTTAAGTTTCGACTACCGTGCTCGACCGTTGGGAACGCCGTGGATCGGTGATTATTTAAGAGGTTTGGGGAGAGAGTTTAGAACTCTCTCCTTTTCCTGTTTTTGATTGAGAATGGGAAATGAACTTAGGGTTTCTTGTAACCCTTAAGTGGGTTATAACCCACACATTGAACGACCCCGTTTTGAAGGGGAATAGTTGCATGTTTTGGAGAAAAGGGGTTAATTGCGTTTAGGTCCTTGCTTATTTGTAATTTCTTGTTTTAATCATTTATGAAATCTTATTTTGGGGCATATATTTTCCT